ATTTGTCCTGTGTAAACTGAACTAGACGTCCTGGAAGAGCAGACTTAGAAGAGAATATTGCAAAGGTGGTAAAGTGGTCCCACACATGCGATCTGCCACTAAATGCAACAAAGAGTCAGTTGCTCTCTAGAACTAGGAAACCACTGAAGGCTCTCAGGGACTGGGGGCAATTTTAAGTAGGCGCTGTAACCAGTGCCAGGGATCTAGGAGTCATTGTAACTGTAGATTACAATTGGAGTACCTAATGTGAAGCTGCAGCACACGCCAGCTGTTTCGACTAAGGTCAGCAGTTTCTTGTAGGAAAGCAGGCNGTATTTATACCCATATACAAAGCCATCGTAAGGCCTCACCTAGAAGACCGTGTTCCGGCTTCGTCGCTCTTCTACAAAAAGGACGCAGCCTAACTGGAGAAGGTCCAGCGACTAGGAACTCGGATGGTTGAGGGTATGCGGGGAAAAACACGAAGATAGGTTGTACGCGCTCGGTCTTTTTCACTAGAAAAGAGGAAATTGCGCGGAGATCTCATTGAAGTATTTAAGATTAAGAATTTGCTGGGTTCAGATCCAGAGTCCCTCTTCACTGAGGCTCTCCACCAAGGAACACGTGGTCATGAGCTTAAACTTATGAAACCGCGTTCTAGGTTGAACCTACGATCATAATTCTTTAGCAATAGGGGAGTGAATAACTGAAATAATCCATGGTCTGAACTGATTAAGCAGCCAACATTACAAGCCTTTAAAAAAGCACTGGACGTCAGATGGTTGGAGGTTTTCCCTGACATAGAATGTTAGGTGCATAAATTGTTTTTGGGTAATATGGAATGCTTTCACAGTAAAAGTCTCTCACCGAAAAGGTGAGAAGTAAAGTCCCGCTTTCTTTCTGTTTGCAGATAGAAAGAGAAACCGATCAATCGCAAAGATGGACGCACACTCGTAGGCACACCACCGAAGGAATTCTGGACGCTTGATTGGCCTGTGACTACCAGTCCTGTGCAACCTGATCTGACCTGAACTGAACTGAACTGAACTGTCCTGAACTGAACTGAACGAACTTGAGCGCTCGGTTCAAATTTTTGACGGGGTAAATTCTAGTCACGTAATTACAAACTACTGTGAGTGAAAGCCGCTGAAACCGCTGCAAATCGTGTAAAAGTCCGTAAACCCGCTTAGCGAAGATATTCGGTAAGTTCTAAGGTGCTAAATTTTGAAATCAGTGATTTCATTGCGTAAGACGTTTTGCACAGAGAAAATAACTGCACATTGCAAGCTTCCTCCATGGCCAAATAAGGTTGCTGTGGAGCTCTCAATTGTCATAAAATGGTCTCTAGCGGCATTCACTGTGATTGCTGCGGTTACTGGTATCACCAAGGGTGTACCCGCATAGAACGTAAAGCCTACGAAGCTTACGCGGGAAACGACGCCTTACAGTTGCTCTGCTACATATGCTTAGCATTGGCGGAGGGGTCAGGTCGAGAACCCAATCTAAAGGTAGACAGCACCGGGTTGAAAATCCAGAACTCACTGGATTCGCAGTTGGATCTGAAAAAAGGTGTAAAAGAGCTAGAAGAGAAAGTTACCACGTTAGAGAGGAAGCTATCGCTTCTCAAGAAAGAGAACGACATTGCCGTGGGCAGAAACAGGAATATCCTTATTTATAACAATGAGGAGCCGGTAATTCGGAATGCACAAGCCCGGACAGACATAGAACATAGGAAAGTCCGGGACCTTTTGAGACTCGCTGGGTTACCTCCACATGAACTTATTAAGAGGGTGCAGAGGGTCGGCCGCTGGATCGACCCTGCAGGCAGCCTGTGGAATTCGGAAGTCCCGCGGTCCGGGACCAATTGCTTAGTAACTGTGAGAAAATTCAGCGAGTCACTTGGGGAGGTATCAGATCACACCTGATACCCGAAAGCAGGGTACATGGCAAACCCCAGAGCAGGGTCATGCACCCGCGATAGTGAAGAGCAAAGCGACCGGAAAGGCCATCATCAAGGTAGCCGCCGTAAAGGCCTCTCCAGAACCGTGTCCTCCAAAGAAACCGGAACACCAATGCAAGCCGAGCTACGCAGCGGTGGTTTCCTCGACTCCCTCGAGGTCGAAACTGTTGGTAACGACAGCACCAAAACCGGTAAAGAAGATCAGAACGAAGGAGGAATCTCGAAAGCACCCATGGGCTGCGGTGCAACCAGTGGTGCAGAGGGTAAAGGCCCCAAAGTTAAGTTTAATAGGAACCAAACTTCACTTCCGATTGTGCCACTGAAGGCAGTAACGGTCGTGGGGCGACCGTTCAGCGCCACACCTGAAGCAAAAACCCATACGCAGGTAGTGCCTGGGGTGCAACCGAAGCAGGAAGAACTACT